ACATATTATTAATAACAGTTATGAGATCATATAATTGTGAATGTATATATGAAATTGATAAAATAAAATTAAAAAAAAAAAAAGGCCCCAGATGTTTCCCCGAGCCACTGAAATGCCAAAGAGAGTGAGACTCGAGGCGAGGCTTGCAAAAAGAAGCAGATTTTTGTTTATGGCCAAAACAAAATACTGGGTGAAACTATATCCAGAACATACAGATACAATGCATGTAAGGAATAGTCATGCCCTTGTGACAGAGCCGAGGTTGAAACTGTGGAGCACATCCTTCTATTTTGCCCCATGTATAACACAGACAGATCTAAGTTACCATCTCTTCTTGAAATCGTCCCTTCTAGACCTAATGGCTGTAATTTGTTTGTATATTGCCTTGGAGATGGCTCCCCATACATCACCTCTCAGCAGTGGTAGGATTCAAATAATTTAGCAACCGGTTCTCTGCCCTAATGATTTCTTCCAACAACCACTTCACCAAACTGCTCAGAAAGTTAACAACCGGTTCTCCCGAACTGGCGCGAACTGGCTGAATCCCACCACTGGTTTCTAAATTTTTCTTATGAGCTGTAACCATTAGAGGAGAAGGCTGTAACTTCCCTTAGTTAAGCTTTTGGTGACTGATTGCTATGATGCTATGATCAATTCCCTTATGTCTCTTTTGTAGTACTCGTGTTTTGGTCTGTGACTGTAAATAAAATACATATATAATGCATGTAAGGAATAGTCACACCTTGGGGAAAGCATGGCATGCTTTTATACCTTCAGAATACCCAATTCTGGTCCAGTAGCCCGTGCCTTCCTTGTAGTCTTGCATTAGCTGTGCAGCAAGGAACAAGGGGGTTGAGTGTTTAGCAACAGAGGGGCTGGGTGTTTAGCAACCCCGCTTCTTGAGATATCCACCAGGTGGTATGGAGTGGTACAGAAAAACAAGCGGAAGTTACATCACTGGTAGAAGTAAACGGCAAAGGCAATTACAGGTGCAAAGCAATTCCTGCAGAAGTGAAATAGCAAGTTATTATTATGTCCCAGTTATTCTACCTATTCTACTATTATTATATCTCTATAGGTTAAATATGAAAAGGTGACGAAGCACAAAAAGGATGCCTCTGACCACCTAAGCCAGTGTTTCTCAACCGTGGCAACTTGAAGATGGGTAGACTTCAACTCCCAGAATTCCCCAGCTGGTGATTTGCCGGTTGGGGGATTCTGGGAATAGAAGTCCACCATTTTCAAGTTGCAAAGTTAGTAATGATATCCTCTTTTCTTCACTACCGGTTTGGTAGCGGGAGCACGTCTGGGCATGCACAGAACCTTCTGCACATGCGCAGAAGGTTCGTGATGATGTCTGGGTAGGTGGGCGGAGCCTTGCACCACCGCCACTACCGGTTCGCCCAAACAGGTGCGAACTGGCAGAATACCACCGCTGGCCAAAGTTAAGAAAACACTGCCTTTGTGAATTTCGAGTTTTGATTACTTCCTCTTTTTAATATGAGTGTGTAACTCAAACAACAAGATAGATACTGGACGTTGGGCAAAAATCACCCAGCTGGGAAATTCTGGGATTTGAAATCCACTCATCTTCAAGTTGCCATGGTTGGCAAACACTAACCCAAATATTTAATTCTGGTTAAAGGTTGAGAAACACTAACCCAAACATTTAACACTGGCTAAGAAGGTCCTTTTATTGATACAAATATCTTCATTTCCATGGAATATTTGACCTGACATGATAGGCAACACAATTATTAGCCTACTCTAATATTGGGGCAAATTAAGCCTGTGGATATTAATTATCTAATGACCTCAGGTTTGCACCATTACAGATGCCAGATCTGAAAGAAAGTAAGTCTTGCTTTTCTCCACCACAAATCAGGAAGTTGGTTTGGAATGTTGTACAAAGTTTTGCTGTATCATCTCAAGGCTGTTTTCCCCTCCCCTCCCTTTTATTTTATATAGAGGAAACAAATGAGAACGATGAACCCAAGCCTGTAATTCCTCCGAGACCCAGTAAAGATTTGATTCTGATTCGTTGTTCTGAGAGCACAAAGAAAAAAATGCAGTGAGGAAGAAAAGGAGGAATTTATCTCTTCGTCTTTGCTACCATCACTAAAAAGAACTTGAGTTATTTACAAAGAATTGTCTGAGGATCTCTGTTTTTGGAGGAGTTATTGCAAACAATGTCTAGTTGCAGGCAGCTCTTGTGTTCAGAGAGTAATGAGCCTTTTTCTGCTTGCTTGACCAATCTTACAGAGAAGACTTTAGAACATAGAATAATAGCACGTGGCTATTACAACTCTACAGTATATAATTATAATTGCACATAGAATTTAGCACTGATGACTTCTTACAATTTTTTTCCATAGAGTCTCTTATTGTATCAAGAGGGTAAAGCTATGCTGAATAGAGTTTAGTGTTAAATCAGTTAAGTTTCCTTTCCCTTGAGTTTGTACGTTTTGCCCACCTAGCCTGCTTAAACAGAGTATTTATAACTCACATACCTTGGTTTCTCTGAGCATAGGTTGTTTTCCTGCAGATGTTTCATTACCAGACTTGGTAATATCATCAGTGTAGGGGGCAGAATGGACTTTGTTGGTGGTTTATATAATAGTGGTCTGGTTTATATAATAATGGCCAGCCTTGCCAGTTGTGATTGGAATGTGATTTCTTCCTTGAGCAATCAACGACTTTAACTCTCACCTATCACCAAAAATACCATGAACACAATGAGTCGCTAGTTTATGATTCAAACGTATTGTTTGAATCCAGAAAACAGGCTAATTCAGTAGTCAGGTTAAGTATGTTGTAAGAATTGCATTCATGCACCATTCTTGGCCATTTTAAGTCCTGATAATAGTATTTTTCCTACATTCTGAATTTTCACTTCCATTTAGTATTTTGTTTGAGGGATGTTATTTGCCTGCGATTTAGCTCCTTCGGTTAGTTTGTGTTCAATTTGTTAATTAACATTAAAGGTTTTTGTAGTTTATTATATATGACTAATTTCATTGGGATTGTAATTTGTAAATATATGATGGCATGTTTTATTCTTTTTGCATGTGTCTAACTACTGTTTAGTCCTCATCTGATAGTTTTTTTTTAATTGTAATTGTTTTGCTTTCTGCAAATCTAGAAAAAAGAGTTTCCATAGCCACAGAGTGAGTGGCCACATATGTCCATAGATGTTGTGAATCTTGATCAGTGGGATAGCTGGCCCTATAGGGCAGGCACATACATTGAGCTTATGATTATTGATTGTGATGCACAAGTCTGTCAACTTAGTGTGTTTATTTTCCATGTGTCAAAGGTTGTTACCTTTGAGATAGGTTGCTTTCTAAAATATGTTTTGGGTAGATGGGATCTTGCCTTACATCCATTGTATTGCACTTGCAACATCTGTGGCTATATGACTAATAAATAACCTGCAGTAATCAAGAGGTCCTCTAGTCTTCTTTTCATCAAGTCATTTCCAATCAAACAGCAGTGGTTGTGACACAAAGGAAAACCTCCTCTTGTACTTTAGACCTACAGATTGCTCAAAAAAGCCTCTTGCATAAGATTCTGGGCAGGAAAGAATTTGCAAACATTTAAAAAGAAGGCAGTTTTTGAGGAAAGTTGGAACTGAATTTTCAACCGCAAGGACATTACAACCTCACATCCTCTCCGGTTTACCATTTCAGCTTCCAGCCAGTCTAATGTATGCCTGTCCAGAAGTTAATAAAAACTTGATTTTCCTAAAAGGTCTTGGGATTGACTATGAAACCACAGCTTACTTTGTAAGTGTTTCTGTCTGCGCATTGTCTTTATTATTCCATAAGGTAAAAGTAAAGGTTTCCCTGCACATGTGTGCTAGTTGTTTTTGGCTCTAAGGGTGACACTCATCTCCGTTTCTAAGAACAAGTGCCAGCCCTGCCCAAAGACATCTCCGTGGTCATGTGATTGGCATGACTAAACGCCGAAGGCACACGGAGCGCTGCTACCTTCCCACCAAAGGTGGTCCCTATTTTTCTACTTGCATTTTTACGTGCATTTTAACTGCTAGGTTGGCAGAAGCTGGGACTAGTAACGGGAGCTCACTCTGTTATGTGGCGCTAGGGATTCAAACCCCCAAACTGCCGACCTTCTGATCAACAAGTTCAGCGTCTTAGCCACTGAGTCCCTACTATTATTCCATATGCCTTAATATTTTTGTTATAAAATTTTCAATCATATTTTCCTGGGGGATTTTGCAGTAACCTTTCCCTGGAGTGGGGAAGGAATGGAGATTTTGCAGTATCCTTCCCCTGCCACGCCCACCAAGCCACGTCCACAGAACTGGTAGTAAAAAAAATTGAATTCCACCACTGCTTTGCATCTCTGTATTTTTGTCCCCTCTGAAGACTGTTCTTTGTGAACGGGATTGTGCAAATGTTGATGATAATATCTTTAATTAATCCTTAATCCTTAGTTAATCCTTAAATTGCTACAAGGTTGATTTTTCTGCAAAAGGCAAAGCCAACTGCTAGTTCTCTGGAAATTGGACCAAGAAGCAATCTTTTTGGTTTCATGCATGCATTCTGCTTTTGGTCTATTTCCCTTAAGTAAACTCCCCTTCCTGTTACAACACGGAAAGAAAGCTTTTTTTTGCCTACATGACCATTTCAACCATTTCAAGTTCTTCTTTCACTCACTT